GAAGAAAGTTCACTCTTTTCCTTGGAAAAAGGAAAACAGCAGAAGAGATCTGACTGTATGTAAGAGCCCCAAATACTTTAATGTAGTATAAACCTTCACTGAGGAAGGAGAAGATCCAGGACTGATTCCCTCCTCTACCCTATTGAACAGTTATCTTCTATTCTTCCACAGAATTAATGCCTGTGGGCAGCACACAAAGCCAGGTTCACTGGGCTGATGTGATGCTGCAGCCCAGCAGCCAGAGCACTCACAAAGCTCAGCCCATCTCCTAACACTGGGTCTGTATTTTGCATTAGTTGGTACCTGAAATACAGATAGCTGGGAGGTGGGGCTAGAGCCATGCAGACCTGGAGAATCATGGTTTTAACTAAAATATTTTTTGCTCCAGCCCTCAAAAGCTGATGTATTAGAACCAACTTCTAGAGAGAAATGAAAGAGCCCTTAAAAAACCCCAAACCACATACAACCAGCCCCTCTCAGTGACTCACCTTTATTGCTGCAAGCAAAATTTCCTTCTGACACTGCTCCTTGCTCTCCATCACCTTTGCTTTCCTGGCATCCCTCTCCTGAACTCGCTACAGGTAAGAAAAGGATGCACCGAGGTCACACAGAGCAGGTCAGTGTCCATCACTGCTCTTCCCTGATTGAGAAATTTCCCTGGTGGAGAAATCAGTTTGGGTCCCCAGGAAGGTCCCCTCCAGCTCCTTCCCCTGCACATCCCAACACACAGCACATGCCTGGGGACACCACACTGCACAGAGACCTTGGAGACCCTCCCTCCAAGGACCCCAAAAAAACAACCACTGCAGGTCTGCCTTCATCCTCACCTTTAATTTGTCAGCTTTAGCCCTCATTTCCACAAGCTTTTTCTCTTCTGAGTCTATCTGCAAGCCTTCCTCACACCATGCTATTGCTTCCACGAAATTCTTTAGCTCCATGTGACAGAGAGCTCCTGGAAGGATCAATATTGTCAGTTTAATATTGTAACTTTCCAGTGTTGGGGTCAGTGTACAACAACTATAAAAGTGATGATTATAAAGACAGCATTAGGTGCTTCTGCACTAAACTTTTTTTTATTTTGTGATCATATTCAACCAGAAACTTCCAGCAGGTCAGTTGAGAAGAAAATTTAAAGTATTTCATCAGTTCTTACATCACTTAGACACAGAAATCAGCAGAATTATGCTAAAAGTGTCTGTTACAAACAAAATTTTATCATTGTAATTAACATTCCAGTATTTGTCTTGGTAGGAAAAATAAAAGGGGGATTTCTATGCAGTGGGGAAAAAAAGAACAGATCTCAAAACTAGTATTGGGGAAAACAGGAGAAGTTATCCTGTACTCAATAGAAATGGGTCCAGTGCCTCTGATAGATATAGGAGATGAAGAACGAGTATTTTGATTGAAAATACAAAGCAAAAGGCAGAGCTCTCTTTTGGGGAGAAACAGCAACAACAAGTGAAGAAATCTCTTTCAGTAACTGCTTTCCCATTCTGAAATTAATTCTCTCCAGAAACAGAGTATGATGCCCACTCACAGTAAATTAAGCTTTAAAAACACAATTATTACACACCAGAAACTTGCAAGGAAACAAGACAACAAGTAACAACAGCCTGTTTTAGTGCTGGTAACAATAACAGCACAATCAGTAAAGTTAACATCAGCCAAGTGTTTGAAAAGGACTCCTGCTCCATGCAGCAACACCAGCTTTAACTCTCACCTCTTATGATGGCTTTGAGATGGGTGGGCTTCAGCTTTTTGGCTTGGATGGCATCATTTAGAGCAGAGCGGTAGTTACCTGCAAAGCAAGTAAAAGTGCTCAGAACCCTTCACTTGTATTTAAAATCCAACCAGACACCAAGGTGACAAAAGGGTTTATGCAGAGACCCTGTAACTCACTGTTCCTACAATCACAGCGAGGTGAGAGGAGGATAAAAAAAGAGCAAACTAAAAACAAGAAGAGAAAGGGCAGGGGTCAATCACACAGGTGAGAGGTAAATAACACGGTGTGAGCAGGTCACCTCCCTGCTGCAACACACAGCAGCGTTAAAAGGCCCAGAACACCTTTCCTGTTGGTAGGATGGTGGTAGCTGTAAGAGAGTCACAGAATAATTAAGGCTGGTAAATACATCCAAGATCATCAAGTAATGGTTTTAAACTAAATGAGGGTAGACTTGCAGTAGACAGAAGGAAGAAATTTTTTACAATGAGAGTGGTGAGGCAGAAGTGGCAGAGTGGCAGAAGTGGCCCAGAGAGATGGCAGGAGCCCCATCCCTGCAAACATTCAAGGCCAGGCCGAACAAACTTGTTTAGTTGAAGATGTCACTGGTCCTTGCAGAGGGGTTGGACCAGATGGCCTTTAAAGGTCCCCTCCAACCCAAACTAGTCTATGATTCTAAAACCCCCTGGTTTTGCCAAGGCTCGAGCAGCAGGTAACAGCTGGAAGGAGCAGAGAACAAACCCTGCACGCAGCCATGTCCTGAAGCGAGCCAGGTCTTCAGGGTTCAAGGCACCTCCTGCTCACAGCTAAGCCATCACAAAACCCAAAACAAACAAAAAGGAAACCCCAAACGGGGAGGCAAAGCAGCTGTGGGTCGCGGAGCCCCTTACCCAAGTGGAAATGTGCGGCCGCCCGGTTGGTGAGCAGCACCGCGTCCAGCTCGGCGTCCCCGCAGCGCCTCCGCAGCCCCTCCGAGTAGGCGGCCGCCGCTCTGCCGTAGTCCTTCTCCTTGAAGTACTCGTTCCCTTCGTTCTTGTACATCCTGGCCAGCTCTGCGGGGATGCAGCGGGGTCAGGCAGGGCAGGGACAGGCAGGGCAGGGCAGGGACAGGCAGGGCAGGGAAGGGCAGGGCAGGGCAGGGCAGGGACAGGCAGGGCAGGGATGGGCAGGGCAGGGACAGGCAGGGCAGGGCAGGGACAGGCAGGGCAGGGCAGGGCAGGGCAGGGACAGGCTGGGAAGGGCAGGGCAGGGACAGGCAGGGCAGGGACAGGCAGGGCAGGGCCGGGACAGGCAGGGAAGGGCAGGGCAGGGACAGGCAGGGCAGGACCGGGCAGGGCAGGGCAGGACCGGGCGCACCTGCGGGGCTCCGCTCCTCGTCGAACAGCAGCGACTGCAGGCAGGCGAGCTCGGGCTGCCGCGCCGCGTCGATCTCGGCCGGGCAGCGCTTCATGAACATGGGGATGGCCTCCAGCTCCTGGGGACGGACAGACGGACACGCACACAGCGCCCCGGGCTCGGCCCGCCCGGCCCCGCGCCCGGCCCCGCCGCCTCACCTGCTCCCACGTGTCGGGGCTCAGCGCGCCCCGGTACCGCGGCGCCGCCGGGGCTCCGGACACGCCGTCCCGCTCCGCCTCCGCCTCCGCCATGCTCCCGCTGCTCCTCCTGCCGCCGCCCGGCCCCGCCTGAGACCGCCCCCGCCGCCTCAGGCCCGGCCCCGCTGCTTCCGACGAGCCCCGGCACCGGTACCGGCATCCGCCCAGTCCCGACATCCACTCCAGCATCCCACCGGTACCGGCACGGCACCCGCCCAGTCCAAACATCCACCCCGACATCCCACCAGTCCCGACATCCGACCCGCCCCGGCATCCCACCGGCACCGGCCCCGGCATCCACCCAGTCCCGACATCCACTCCAGCATCCCACCGGTACCGGCATCCCACCAGTCCCGACACCGTCCCGGCATCCCACCGGTATCGGCACCGGCCCCGGCATCCGCCCAGTCCCGACATCCACCCCGGCATCCCACCGGCACCGGTACCGGCATCCACCCAGTCCAAACATCCACCCCGACATCCCACCGGCACCGGTACCGGCACCGGCATCCGCCCCGGCATCCCACCGGCACCGGTACCGGTATCCGCCCAGTCCCAACATCCACCCCGACATTCCACCGGTACCGGCACCGGTCCTGGCATCCCACCAGTCCCGACATCCGACCCGCCCCGGCATCCCACCGGTACCGGCACCGGCATCCACTCAGTCCCGACATCCACCCCGGCATCCCACCGGCACCGGTACCGGTACCGGTACCGGCACCGGCACCCGCCCAGTCCCGACATCCGACCCACCCCGGCATCCCACCGGTACCGGCACCGGCATCTGCCCAGTCCTGACATCCACCCTGACATCCCACTGGCACCGGCATCTGCTCAGTCCCGACATCCACCCCGGCATCCCACTGGCACCAGCATCCCACCCTCTGCCGCCTCAATCCCGGCCCCGGCATCCCACCGGCATCCGCATCCCACCAGCACCCTCATCAGCCCCCACCCCCCGCCCCAGCAGGGATATTAGGAAAAAAGTTCTTTCTCAGAAGGGTTGTCAGGCATTGGAACAGCCTGCTCAGGGAAGTGATGGAGTCACCATCCCTGGAGAGATTTAACGGGCACCTGGGGACACGGGTTACAGGTGGCCTTGGCAGCTCAGGTTAATGGCTGGACTCAATGATTTTAAAGGCCTTTTCCAACCTAACGATTCTGTGATTTTATTACAGTGTAGCTCATGATTTCTAGATCCCAGACCGAGGAGCTGCGGCACAGGGTGAGGTGACCCCTCCACGCAGCTCCCTGTCCCGTCAGTGCTGCTGGGATGGCACCAAGCAGCTCCTCACAGGAGCCCTGGGCCTGCCATGGCAAGCTTCCACCTTCATGGGACGTGGGTGTTCCTGAAGGAAAATGCAAACACAGGGAAGTCACCTTTCTTTGTCTCTCTTAGAATCCTTTGAGGCAGTGAGGGGAACCCTCCTGTCGCCCTGGGCAGTTTTGCTGTTCTCTGACAGAGACCTTGGCCAGTCCATCCCTGCCAGGCAGTGAGGGGTTGGCCCTGCCAGTGCTCCCACAGCCACACGAGGCTACAAGTGCTGGAAAAAGCAACTTCCAGGCAGCTGTACCCAGAGGGAGGAATGTCCCCAACCATGTGGGGGAATGTGGGCTGATTCCAGCTCAACCTCAGCACCTGGCACACCTGCAGGATGCTGCAAATGGCTCTGATGTGAGCTGGATTTGCCTCTGCTCACCCAGAGCCATCGCCAGGGCTGCCCAGATGAACTCACTGCAGCAGAGATGACGGATTCAGAGAGGAGGCACTTAAGGGACTTGCACTTTACTCAGCAGCTCTATGACGCCTTCTTTGGTGAGGAACAAAACCTCGCTGGCATTCTGATTCCAAACCTCAAAGACCGGGGGGTCCTCGCAGACCCTCTTCCCAGCCACCACCACGTAGGGATAGCCCAGCCTTTTGGCATCCTTCAGCCTCTTGCCGATGGTCAGCTGGCTCCGGTCGTCCAGCACCGAGTCGGCGGCGAGCTGGGGCAGCGCTTCGGCCAGCTCATCGTACACCCGCTCCAGCAGCGCCGCTCCCTCCTCCTCCTCCTTGCTGCCCCTCTTGGGGGGGATGAAGCAGAGCTGGTAGGGCGCGATGAGGCTGGGCCAGCGGATGCTGTCCTCGGTGGAGAGCACCTCGATGGAGGCCGCCAGGATGCGAGTGACGCCCAGGCCGTAGCAGCCCATTTCTGCCAGCTGGGGTTTGTTCTCGGCGGAGGAGAAGACGGCGTTGGCGACGGAGGAGTACTTGGTGCCCAGGTAAAACGTGTGCCCCACCTCGATGCCTTTGGTCTCGGTGAGTTTCTCCCCGCACGTGGGGCACGAGGTTTGCTCCCCATTTAGCGTCTCCACGTTGGCTGCGAAATGCCCCTGAGGGCACAGCAGCAGCCTGTCCTCGCCGATGTCTGCCGGCAGCTGGAACTCGTGGGACGTGCTGCCACCGATGCTGCCCGTGGCCGCCTGCACCTTGACGAAGGGCAGGCCCAGGCGGGCAAAGAGGCTGCAGTAGGCAGCACACACCTGCTCGTAGGTGCGCCGAGCCGCCTCCTCGGAGCTGTCGAAGGTGTACATGTCCTTCATGTAGAACTCCCGGCTGCGCAGCAAGCCAAAGCGGGGCTTGGGCTCGTCCCGGAACTTCCTGGTGACCTGGTAGAGGCGCAGCGGGAGCTGCTTGTAGGACAGGCCGGTCTGCGAGGCCACCAGCGCCGTCACCACCTCCTCGTGCGTGGGGCCCAGGCAGTAGTCGTGGTCGTGCCGATCCACCAGCCGGAAGAGCTCCGGCCCCATCTGGTCCCAGCGGCCGCTGGCGCGCCACAGCTCCGCCGAGCACAGGCTGGGCAGGTTCAGCTTCTGCCCACCCACGGCCCGCATCTCCTCGTCCATCACCTGGATCAGCTTCTCCATGGCGCGGACGGTGGGCGGCAGGTAGCAGTAGCAGCCGGGGCTGGTAGGATGGATGAGCCCCGCCTGCAGCATCAGCCGCTGGCTGCGGCAGGTGGGCTCCCCGGGCCGGCCCTCGGAGCCCACCTGGCTGCCCACAGGCAGGGCCAGCGGCTGGAAGAGCTGCGAGAGCCGCAGGCGCCTGGCCCTGCCCGGGGCGCCGCCGTGCCGGGCCCTGATCCCGCACTGCCGAGCGCCCAGCGCCGGGAGACGGCAGCTCCTCAGCAAGGCCTCCATGGCGGGCACGGAGAGGGGCTGCGGAGAGAGAGGGGACAGAGCGGGGGTCAGCGCTGACACAGCGCAGGGACTGCGCCACCCTGACACGCACACGGGTGTCAGAGCTCACACGGACCCACACGCACCGGGTGTGCACATACAGGTACCCCATCACACGGGAATGCTGCACGGGCACACCCGGTGTGCACATACAGGTACCC